CTCTCTCTCTCTCTCTCTCTCTCTCTCTCTCTCTCTCTCTTCGTCGGATTTGCTCGGGTCACGTCTCTGGTTGGCGGATTAGCGAAGCGATCGCGAAATCAGTTCGGGAAGAAGGTGAAGAAGAGCAAGAAGAAGAAGAAGAAAGAAAAAGAAAGAAGAAGAACATGAAGAACAAGAGCAGCAAAAAAAGAAGAAGAAGAAGAGGGAAGATATTCGAGACACGATGACTGATGGCGTGATGTAAATGCCTTATCCTGTCTGTCGGGATAGAGACAAGCGCTACGGCGTAACACGCCAGAGCGATGTTGCTAGTCCTCTCTCTCATCGATCAATAACAGCTGCACCAGAGAGAGGTCGAAGACCTCTTTGGTGCCCCACTATCACGACCAGATATGCCCCTACCGCTTTTTATGCTACCTGCCTTTTTCTTCCTTCTTATCCTGTAACCCCGCGGGTCTCTCTCTCATGAGCATTCGGAAATAGACTCATCCCCAAATGCTTCGTGCGCCGGTACCGAAACGTCAAAGCGAGGAATATAAACGGAGGTGTAACGGGATGATACGGCGATACGAAACAATGAAAAAGCCAGAGGACCTGGTTGCTTCCTTGGAGAATCTAATTAATTTTTACTGCCGAACAGTTCACAGACTCATTCGGCGGGATGTTGGCCGTTTGTTAGCGAAGTTTTCACGCGTCTCTTCGCGACAGTCGGTTCTTTAATTGTACGGGGACGCCGGCGCGAATAGTTATGGAGCAAGTTACGTGTACGAACGGAAACGTTTCGGCTAACTGTGCAGTCGAAACAATGTTCTCAATGACTTTCAATCCTTCTTATTGATAGTCTTCAACTATCAACTATGCGATGTTAACTATTCAGCTAATCAAGCCGCATACCGTCGAAGGAAATGATCCTTGAGACAGACTTTCATGATTATCATACTAAGAAAAAAATATAGTTGAAGTAACTAAAAATATAATTATTTTTTTATAAACTCCAAACATAATTTTTGCAATAGAATGGTAGTAGTAACATATATATAAGATTATTATTACTAATATTATAGTATAATATTATAATAGATTTTAATAATAAAAAAAAAAGATTTTCTTGGCCATAATTTATAGTAATTATTTCCCTGTGTGATCATAATAATTATTTCCCTGTGTGATTGTAGTAATTTTTTCCCTGTGTGATTGTAGTAATTATTTCCCTGTGTGATTATAGTTACAAATACCAAACATTTTTTTTCTCAGTGCATGATGTGAAACAATTGATGATCGAAACTTTACAGTATTTATTTTAATTACATTTATGGAAGAAAATGTAAATATACTGTATTAAATTAATTATTAAATTTATCATACAATAATATAAATTTTTGTTATATTGATGCAAGCAATAAATTTACTAAAATTACATTTAGATTTTCATATTACATTTAACATGGCATATTATTAGAGACAAATGTTTATCATTTTTTTCTTATTTCTTTTATATTCCCTCATTCTATGTAATAAATATGAGTGCAATCTGATTAGTCATAAAGAATACAACGTTGCTAAGTACCGTGATTCACCTTAAAATTGCTGTAAAGTTTACGTAAATCAGTTTATCGGAGATGAAAATTGCGCGAAAGTACTTAGATAGACTTCCATTATTATCACGACCTGAAAAAATCAGTGATGAAAACCTTACAATTTTTCTATAATTACATTTATGAAGTAAATACACTGTATTAGATTAATTATTAAATTTACATCATACAACAATGTAAATTTTTTTATGTATGATGCAGCAACTAATTTACTAAAAATTACACTCAGACTTTCATATTGCATTCAATATGACATAATATTTGGCGCAAATTTTTATCATTTTTTTCGTATTTCTTTTATATTTCTATTTCTTCATTCTGTGTGATAAATATAAGTGCAATATGATCAGTCATAAAGGCTGCAACGTTGCCAAGTATCATGATTTAATATACAAAGTTGCTGTAAAGTTTACATCAGTCTATCGAGGTAGTTTTCTCACTCAGCGTTAATTGAAATTAATCTTTATCATCGTTTTATGTGTACAATAACAGAAATAAGATTTTCTGATTCGTAATTTCAAAGTATAAACTGTCGAAATGCTAGAATAGGATTTTCATAAATTTAGGCAATAGAAGAAGCAGAGCGTATGATTTAATCAATCTCGCGGGAAACGAGTAATGGTTAATTAGTCAACGTCTATGATCGAACGTCCAAGGTCACTACCAGGCGGAAAATTCGGGATAATTCAGTCACCATGTCTCGTGAGGATAAGGATAATAATAATAACACGGCTGAGGATTCGGAGGAATCGATCGCGGGGGAGCAGGTACGAGATCACCTGCGCGAGAACCGCGCTTAAGCGATCGATCGACGTGTAACGACGGCGGTGTGTGTGGCTCTCCACCACGCTACTACGTACTGGACTGTTGCAGGCTGCCTGGAATTGGGACGGGGCTGAGATCGCCCTGGAAAATCCTGCTCTTGAACATCCTGTCGATACTATGGTAGTCTGTGCACCTGTACATATGTAATTCGCGCTCCTGCGCGCGCGAGACCTATATCTCCTCTCTTGACCTACGACCCCGTGCCACGTCGCGTTGAAGCCTCGATGAAGTCACATTAGTCGGCGAATTAAGCTTGTTCACTAGCTCAATTTATCTCATTCTTCCTCTCTCTTGTATCTCTTCTTTTCTCACGTTGTAGCAGCTCTCCTGCTTCAACCCCAACGAAATTTCCGTACAGAGTCCCTCATCCCGGAGAGACTCACGTCTCTTTCCGCAGACGACACTCGCGTCTCGAGACGACGAACTCTTCGCGCCGAATATCCATATACCTTCCTCCAGATCTCGATTTCACGGAGCCCTCGTTTACGTGCGTAACTTCGTAGAAGAGGTCCTTCCTCCGTATTCGACGACACGGTCATCGCGAGAAGATATCCTCCAAGCTCGGTCCGTCCGTGCCGAGTGCTCCGCCGAGTTTACTTTCACGAGGATATTCGCGAGGACCTTCGTCCACGGCCTCCCTGCGAAAGGCGACGATAGTCCGCGGAGTCGATCGATGAATGCATCGCCGCGTCAGCCTCTGGCGGGCAAGGAGACACCCTCTCTTTCTCTGTCTCCTTTCAAACGGCTATCCTCCGGCGATCATCTCGATGACTTCTTTTCCCGATCGATGTCTCGGCCTATCGATACCTCCTCTTCCTCTTCGACACCCGTTGGATAAACACGAGCCACGTCGCGATTGTGCACTTTCACCATCGCCCTATTTCCCGGAGGCGTCTCTCCGTCTGGTCGATGACTGTTGCATCACCACCATCGTACACCACTGTACACTCCTTGCGGTAGCACCTTAGCACCCTAGGTGCCCCCCCGACTTGCCCTTTCCTACTCGTAATCGTCCACCAACGTTGGGCCACTGTGTCACATCGATCCGCGTCGAATCTAACTACCGGCACCTTTCAATTCTCTCTCTCTCTCACTCGTCTTTCGTCTGTCCGTCTATCTGTCGCGGTTCAGCGTCGAATATGTCTTTCTCTCCTTCCTTTTCGCATGAGCAATCTGTGGAACTTTACGTCACCCTTTCGCCTTCTTCCCTTTCGAACACTAGTCTTCCGGACTTTGGCGCGTCTTGCGCGAATACACCTTTCCCGGCTCCTCCCTTCTTGAAAAAGCAGTTCACACAAGGTACTATATTAAATTTCACCAATACACTTGTTCTATTTCGCCAGCTTCTTTCTTCGGCGAACGCGAAGAACGACATGGAGTGCTCCCCACTGATACAATCAGGTGCTCGATGTTAAATAACATTAGGAGATGTTTGTGTGGTGCAGCGTCGAAACACCTTTCCTTCCTCGAGTAACTAGTTTTCCTTGGGATTCAATATTACGTTTCGTCAATACGCCACCGCTCTCGCTCTTTCTTGCTCTTTCATGGATTCTCTACTTTGTCGAACGGACACGAGGCATAACGTGGAGTGTATTGAGAGTGCTCAAGTCACCGAATAATGACAAGAGAGGTCTACTACGTGGTGGAGTGTCGAGGTCGACTGAGAAGGCGATTAGCGCGTACCACCTTCGAATCCTTCTCTCTCGTCCCCCTCGCTTAATTAACTTCTTCTCCCTTGTTTTTCTCTGGCGCTTTCGATCCTCCCTCGTTCTCTACTTCGTTCCTTCTCCTTTCTCTCTTCTGAACTCCACCCTCGCGTCTTGTCGTCCCTT